CGTGCCCCCCCCCAAGCCTGGACCTCAAGCATAATCTGAAGGGAAAGTATGCCTGCTCTGCTGCAACCCAAAGGAATCTCGTTCACGTCCTGGTGCACGAACCAGTTTAACTATTGCCAGAGAGGCAACATTTTCATATGCAACCTCTGACTTCCTCTCAGCAACCCATGTTGCGGCAGCCCTCTCATTCAGCCAGGCAAAGGATGAATTTCTGCTTGATTCAAACCAAGGACTTAGGTGTTTTACAGAAACATGATAGGGGCTGCACTACAGAACCAGAAGCAAGTACTCCGCTGCCACCAGCCCAGCCCAGCTCATACCTGGGCAAAACAACATGCAGGTCAGACCCTAGGCCAAACGATGATGTGGTGCTGACAATCCAGCCACACAGCAGGTGTGCCATGCAATAACTCAGCTGGTAGAGTGGAAGACTGTAGTGGTGCAGGAAAGTATTTTAGGCTGAGGTTTCAGATCCAGCTCAAACCATCTTTGCCACAATTAGGCAGAGCTTCACTGGTAGTTTTCTTAGGGTGGTGTTAAGGCCAAAAGAGGGCTCAAAAGAAAAAAAGGAGTAGGAGACAGACTGCTTTAACAGTTGTTCAGCAAAGTGTCTGTTAGGTAGATTATCTGTAAATTAAATGTCCATTTTAATAAAGTTCACTGCATTTTTCATAAGCACAACATACACATATTGTTGTAACAGAGCCAGCTCAGACATTTCGTTAGCTCAGGTAGCCATTCCAACTACTACATATCTTTCCTAGTACATTTCAATAAGGTTTGCCCAAGAGGACTTTTTGATAGATGGTGGCCTATTGGCCAAATTTTATGTCTCCTAGTCTGTCATCCCTTATAGCACCAAAGTCTGCTGCCTTGTGTTGTCTCAGGACACAACTGCCTCTTGCTTGCAGTATGTGTTACTGAATATATTGTAATAGTGTTCTCCTGTTGACCTACATACAAATCTCCACTGAGCAATTAAATGTTTAAAGTTTGTTTGTTTTAACAATACCAATCCACTGCATCCACAGTCTCTTTGGAACAACCATGAAATAAGCATGCAATACGAATCAAGGAGGTTTGAAAGAACTGTAATATAATAATTCATACACTAAAACCTACAAAATGTCGCAAGGCATTTTGGCAAAAAAAGTAGTGCTAAATTATCAGGCCACTGGGATCTGTCCAGCCCCTGGTGAATGTTTGGGGAAGGAAATCTCACAAGAATTCATACAGGTACCCAGCAAGCACGATTCTAGGGAGTTTTTAGATTTTTTTGGTGACCACATTGGTAAACTAGAGTAACTACTTTTTTAAAAGTAAATGATACATGTTCTATAGTTTAATTTGACACCTGCTTCATATCCCAACAACCTATCCTCAGGCATCCTGAATCTAGAACAGAGTGTAAGGTATGTTTCAAAAAGTCTTGCTGTAATCATTGGGATTATGGAACAAAATTATCAGAAGGCATCCCTGAAGAAGGGAGGCAGCTGAGGTTAACTTATAAAACGTAGAGGTGCTTGTTTGTGGCCTGCTCGTATTTACTAGTAAGGGACAGTAACTCTTCACATGCTCAGAGATCCTGTTTACTCGGGTCATTTCGTAGAAAAAGAGGTGCAGGAGCTCATTAGCATAACTCATTAGCATAACTCATTTGCATATGCCACACATACCCCTGACATCACCAGAAGTGTGTCAGAAGGCAACACCCACTGCTCAGGCTCCACTGGACTGTTTTGGATTGCTAGCTATTGGGGGGGGGACATGCAGCTCTGTCCTCGCAGAGGAGGGAGAGCTTGTACCTGAATAAAACTTGGTCTTAAAGGTGCCACTGGCCTGTTTTGGGCTTGGGGGGCCGGGGGGGGGGCTCTGCAACTTACCTGGCTGCTTCTTGCTCTGACTGAGGGCTGCTGGGAGCAGGGGGCGGGGCTTCTTGCATGTGCCCCCCCCCGCTCTTTTCTGCCAGAGCTCTGCTCCTGTGCGCTCATGCAGGAAATGACCCCTGTGTTTACTACTGATTTGTTATGTGGCTGCAGGGGCCCTGGTTTAAATTAAGCTCTATCCTGCAAAGCCAGAATTTGTGCTAGGAATCCTTGCTGAAGGTTAAGAGTGGCTTTAATATCTACAACGTATTTTTTCCAGGATTCAAATTCCCCAGCTCTGACAATTCATCTGTGTGGGTGTAGCACTGTGTATGTCAGTAAACAGGAGACAAGTGGAGAACCAGGTGTGGGAGTACTGGGAAAGAGGGGGAAATGTAGCCAATGTTGCAAATAGGTAACATGAACTCTGCTTGCCTGATAAATGTTAAATTGTTGCCATATTACTGTAATTTCACATTCATCCTTTGAGCTTGTGTAACCCCTAGCAAGGAATGGGATGAGCCCGGAAAAGGTGGCGCCTTTAGGTGCAGAAGGGAGCCGAATGTGTGGAAAACAGACAAGGGAAGCCAGACTGCCCTACTTGAACCTTAAGTCACAGGCTCTTAACACCTTGTTTAAGAATTGTTGCTTCAGGACTGTGTTATCTAATGGGGAGTTCATTTGGGATCCTCATCTTCAAAGCCGGTGTACAGAGTGTTCCGCTGGAGACTTCCTGGGCCACCAGCAAGAGGAAAGAGATGGACTTTGGGGGTGGCAAGCTGTGAAGTAGGGAAAAGCTAATGGTTTGGTCTTTAAAAGATCATTGCTCAGTTCTGTTACTAAGTTTTATGTTTTTGTTACATGATGTTAAGTGAAAAATAAAAATGTTTTATTCTCTCTGAATTATTGCAAAATTCATTCCAAGTTCTGCCCTACAGAACCCAAAAGTTGAGGTTACACTTGCAGTAGGCCTATGGAAGCCATGGAGGTTAAGGGCACTTGTCAAGAGGGAAACATAATTTTTATTATGCTAAAGATACGGATATACCATCTTTGTCTTGGGAGGAGAGATTGTTGGTATAGACTAGTGAGACAATGAAGGGCATGGAGTGAATGAACAGGAATGTAGCCTGACAGGATTATAATACGGTTTGCCAAGGATGGTTGCAGAGCTTTTAAAATAATATTTACTAATGGAATTACGCTTAAATCAAACCATTAAGTTTCAGAGAATCAGGTCCCTATCAAAATGTTGATATCATTGAGTTCCTAGCAACCTTAACAAGTTGGGTATAGAAAGGAAGGCTCACTGATTTGACTCACTGGGGAATAATTTAGACTGAGATTATTTACAAGAAACAATCTGTTTTCATCCAAGTCTTACTGGGGATTGTTAAACAAAGTTTGAGTCCAGTGGCACCTTTAAGACCAACAAAGTTTTATCTAAGGCAGAGGTCATTTCGGGGGGGAACGCGGGGGAACGCAGTTCCCCCGGGTGAGGTGCAGGGGGGCAGGGCACATGATGAAGCCCCGCCCCTGCTTCCGGCCGCCCCGCTTCCAGCCCTCATTCAGCCAGGAGGAGGCAGAAGAAGAGGGAAGGCAAGTTGCTTCCTCTCCACTTCTCCCCACCCCTGCCTGCCTGGGGCCAGGGAGGGCCTTGGTGGGGCTTCCTCGCACTCCCGCTGGCCTTGCAGGTCCACCGCCGGCCCCTGATGTCAGGGTGTGTGGCATATGCTAATGAGTTCCCCTAGCTCTTTTTCTACAAAATGACCCCTGATCTAAGGTATAAGCTTTCGTGTGCAGGTACACTTAGATACAATGAAATGTAAATTACCAGTCTGTACATATAGGTAAAGGGTGAGTAATAAATTAGCATACAGCATAGTGAAGACGTTTAACAGATTCAAGGACCAAACAGGAATAACATGCTTTGTTTGGGTTTAAGTAAACAAAGGCATATTTCAAAGGTTCTATAGATGTATTGGACTAGAGTATTTCATGCCTCAGGAAGGATGTGTGACTGTGCCCGCATTTGGCAATGTAAGAAATGAATGGCTGGCCATTGGTTAAAACAAAGCCAATGGGGCACTGTGTGAGTCAGATGAAATGGCCTTTAAAGAGTGAGATAATTAGGTCCAGAGGGTTAACGGTATTAGTCTGTTGTACCAAAACAGGAGTGCAAAATAACAAACTATTGCAGCACAAGTTTTTGTGAGCCAGAGTTCAAATGATCAAGTACAAGTCATAAAGTAAGCACTTGAAGAAGTAATCCCTGGCTCACAAGAACTGACTCTGGAATAATTTTGCCACAGGGCTTCTGTGTTATTATACTATATAGACAGATCCTCTATTTCGCTATTTTTCCTTAGTGGATGAAATAAGAACCTTTAAACAAATTCATTTTGTGTAAACTGATGTGCAGAATCGAGGAAAACTCAACGACCTGTTCAGCCATTACTGCGTCTAATCTAGGACAAAATTCCAGCCCTTCCCTCCCTCGTAGTCGTTCCACAAAAGGAACCACCGAGGCCACGCCGCTAACAAAGTAGAGATGGCTCTTCCCCGATCCACGAAAAAAAGAAACAGAAAGCGGAGGACTGTGGTCAGTCGCGTAGGAAATGCACTCTTCCTATGCCCAGTGGCATTTTATACTTCATGACGTAACACGCTTCAGGGAAATCCGAACAGTCGCTATCTCAACTCATCCGCAAGCGAGAAGAACTCACAAACCACGCCCAGCTCTCCTCCCTCCCACCCACAGACCGAATATCTAATTGACCAATCAAAGAATGAGGAGGGGCGTTGTTTTCCTGAGTGCCCCGCCCATCTGAACAGCCGCAAAGTTAGAACCACCAGACAGAAGAGAGCGGGCCGGAGGCTTTCATCGTTGCCTAGTATCCTTCTCTTGGGACTCTAACGGCCCAATCAGAAAGGGAGGGGCCAGGCTTCAGGGGCGTTCTGGCTCCTCCTCCTAGAGCCTCCGCTCAATCCCAGAGCGGGGAGGCGGGGTTTGTCGCGTCGCCGTCCAATCAGCCGGCGAGTGAGACGTTGCTGCTGCAGCCATGCCTCGCCTCTTCGCTCCGTGACTGCAACAGCCGCGGGAGTCGCGTAGTTCGCCGCAGTGAGCCTCCGTCCTGGTGCTTTTCGGTAGCCGGACGTTGGCGGCAGCGCCATGGAGCAAAGCTCGGAGAAAGAAGCCGCGGCGCCCGGCCCGGAGGTCCCCCCCTCCGGCTCGGGCTCCCGTTCGCGTGGGCTCGGGGGCATCGGCTCCGCAGAAGCCCTGGCGGCGCTGGGCGCGGTCGGGCGCCGGCTGCTCTGGCTGCTCCCCGTGTACCTGGCGGGTCGGGCGGGGCTCAGCCTGGGCTTCGTGGTGGCCGGGGTGGCCCTCTACATGGGCTGGAAGGGCCGGCGGCTCGGCAAGGAGCGGTCGCTGCGGATGGCTGGGCTGCTGCTGAGTGACGAAGAAGGGGCGGTGAGCGCCGCGGCCAACACCGCGGGGCTGGGCCGAAGCCTGGGGAAGAACGATCTGCCCGCGTGGGTAAGAGCGATGCCCGACTCCCGCCCCCAAACTGTAGCTCCCGCTCTGCGAGGGGCGCTCCGCTAGCTAAGGGACTGAGAGCAGCGCACTCTTCCCCTGAATTGCTCTAGTCTAAATCCTTCTAAATAAATGCACTTAAGCTAAAGCGGCTCTACTACAAACGCCTGTTGGCAGTCACTGAAAGCCCCGGGACGCCTGTCGTTGTCAAGGCTGATCAAAATAACCTAACACAGTGAAGCGAGGTTTTGGATACTCCAGAAGAACTCTTCCTCTGTCTGGATATTTAAAGGGGGGGGAGAGATCTTTTCATAAACGTGGCTTCTTAATGTGGTTTTCTGCTCCCTCTTCCTCTGAATTCAGAAAGGGGGGGGGGAGGAAACCCTCTTACCACGGCTGAGTACATGAGGACAACGTGACTTGTGTTTTAATGCAGCTGTGCAGAGAAGGGGTTTTTTTGCCCACAAAAATGTCAAGCTATAGTGCCTGCCTGGAAGATAGTTTTAAGAACCTGTGCCCTTAAAAATAATAATAAAGATCTGACTGTAAAGCTTCCGAGCCTGGAGAGCAATTGTGACTTTCCCCCAAGTGATCAGCTGTTTACAAGCCTGTCCTAACAACTTCTGATCTTCAGTTTACCCCATTGACCAGAGCCCCACAATTCCTGTTCTTGTAGATTTCCTTTCTGACTGGGAAAACTGTGCTAGAACTTGGTCCAGGAGTGAACTGTTTTCCCTTTATTCATTATGTTACATTGTGCCTTCCTGTTCTGCTTTACAGAACTCCATCTACGCCGCTGGAATTCAGTTTTGTGTGTTTATTTGAAACATTTACTTGCTGCGTTTCTTCCGTACAGAGCTCAAGTCTGCTTACAGCATAGATCAGAGTCCCTGACATAGTGCTGGTGGGACCCATGGCGCCTGCTGACACCTTTCCTGGTGTCCGTGAGGTGTAATTAGAAAGTGGGTGAAGCCAAGTGGGTCTTTTGCCCTCAAGGTTTTTGAGTGGCCTTTGGAGATTCGATTGGCTGGGAAGATTTTTTGAAAATGTTGCTTTGGTAGCAGTAGCAACCACACAACACAAGGACCTTCGCTGTAATAAACTGCTGCAGCTATTTTTGTGGCTGACTCCACCTCCTCTGGCAGCCATTTTGTGGCTGTGCCCACCATGCTATGTCAGAACTCCAAAGGCGTTTGCACACTCAGAAATGTTAGGGACCCCTGGCATAGATAAAACACATAAAGTACATTAAAAACTTTAAAACCACGATTTATCTCCCAGCCTTGGTTTCCTTCCCTTTGCTCTTTGCAGTGGCTTTCCCCACATGTGTGGAATTCTTTCCCGGAGACGTTCCCTCTGTCTCTTCCAAACCAGTTTTCCAAATCTTGGAGTCATCTTCTGCAACTCTTAACCCTGTTCCTTACTTGGCTTTTCTCTGCCCTCTCTGGGATGTGTTCACTTCATACTAGGGAAGTGTTCAGCCACACTGTGGAAAGAAATTCTAACAGATGGGGGCAGGAAAAATGCAAAGCAACAGGCCTGTTACTTTGCCGTGGTGATCTCCCTGCATCTGTTGGTATCAGATGTGTCTTTAGCAAGGTGAAACATAGTGTTCTTTCCCTGTCATCCTTTTGGGCAGCCTGGTTAGCAATGATTTGATTATGGCAGTATAGAAGTAAACCATTCTTACTGTTCAGGATCAGAATGCCCCAGGGAAACAGAAGATGTCTGCTTTTAGCAATCACGCTTAATCATTCGGTCATCTAAAGACTTGGCATGTGCAAAAAAAGGTCTATCCCTTGAGGGTTTTTTAATCCAGCTCCTTAGCTACAGATCTGAGATTTGCCATGCTGCAGCAGATATGGAAACATCCTGAGTTTCCGCTTAGATTCTTGGTGCCTCAGTTCAAGCAGAGTTTGTCATTTATAATTTTCCAGGTGATCGTTGCTCCTCTCCCTTGATCACTTTGATACATGAGGCTGCTGCTGTTGCAGGCCAGTTATCGGGTCACTTGCCTGGAGGAATGTGATAGCCAGTCTCTGTGCCCTGCTCTCAGGCAGAATATGTGAACTTGCCCCCTCTGTTTAAAGAGGGGCACAGGCTGCAAGGTCTAGATTACTTAACTAGGTGCAAGCAAGCATCAGTAACCCCAAGGCTGATTCTGCTCATCTAGCTATCCAAAGGGTTTTGGTGTAGTGGTTGAGAGCAGCGGACTCTAATCTGTAGAACTGGATTTTATTCCCCACTCCTTCATATGCAACCAGCTGGGTGACCTTGGGTCAGTCACAATTCTCTCAGAGCTCTCTCAGCCCCACCTACCTCACAGGTTGTCTGTTGTGGGGAGAGGAAGGGAAGGAGATTGTAAGCCACTCTGAGACTTGGAGTGAAGGGTGGAGTGTAAATCCAGCTCTTCTTCTTTTTCTATTGGATACTTGCTAGATGAAGTGCATACTAGCTTTTCGGAACTGAAATATTAGCAAAACGTTTACTGTATATTATGCAGTTACCAAATCAGCAACCATATAGTTTAATTCCAGGCTCTTCCTCTGTAACAACCCAGGACAACATCTCTATAACCTGGCTTTCATGACAATGTAGGTTTCCCACCCTGCTATCAACTGCCACTGATATGGGGTAGGGAATGCAGAAAGCTGAAGTCAGGATTTGAATAAGTTGCACTCATGGTTACAGAAGATGCAGGTGAATTCAAAATGTAGTTGGTGGTTTTGTGGGGGTGGCACATTCACTCTGACGTGTAAGTCCCCAAAATGTGTTATCTAGTCATTTAACAGAAACTTCTTCCTTTGGGCTATTAGTGTCACTAGCTGGTTTCTTGCCTTATCTGGATTTTTACAGAGTAGCTTTTTGTGGGGGTAACATTCATTTCTGACCACTATGCGTTGGTGATTAGCTTGCCTTGCCACATTCCAGGCTTGTAGTACATCGTAACATCATTGCAAGTTCATGCTCAATGGCCTGACTTCCCTTCCATAGGAGAGAGGAATAGGATATGAAAGTCATAGGGGGGGGGGATTTTATAGGTTTTCATCTGTTGGAGTAAGGGATAGCTCCTTTTTGCCTTAGGCCCTTGTGTGGTTACTGGTACGGCTGATATTTAGTACAATGGGGGAGAGTACACAGATATCTCCCTTTCTGTGGAAATCTTGACTGGTCTGTCCTTGGGATAAAGTTGGATGCTTGCATGGAGCAAAACCCTGTTGCTTCTGCTGCTGCAGTAAAAGGATGGGGAAGATCCCGCTTCAGAACAGCGGTGTATACTAAGTCAGCCTCTGTTGCTCAATAGCCAGCAGAGAGGTCAGAGGACATGATGCTGCAAATTAGAACTGTTTCTCGATGTGCGAGAGGTTGTGATTCACTGTTTGGCATTTCATTGGTGAGCATGGCATTTTAAAAGGAATCATTATGTGTATCTAAAGTACAGTTGAAACAGAATTGCTAGCATATGGTCATACAGCCTTGAATGCAGCTTTGTTTCGAATTTTGCCCTCTGAATGTTTGGGGGAGAGGTAGATGTGGCTCTTGGCAGGAAGACCATGTTCCATGTGTGTGAAAAGGTGTTTTTTTTTTTTGTTACCCCCTTAAAATTAGCTTTGTGACTTAAGGTTGCCGCCCTCCAGGTGAGGCCTGGAGATCTCCTGGCATTACAGCTGATCTCCAGACGACAGAGATCAGTTCCCCTGGAGAAAATGGCTGCTTTGGAAGGTGGACTCTGTGGCATTATGTCCTGCCATTCCCCAAATCTCCAGGAATTTCCTGAACTGGAGTTGGCTATCATATGCTGTAACTGTATGCTCATGTTTTAGAAAGCCATCTGTTTTAGTGCCCCCCCCCCCCCATCTTGAGCACTGGAACAGTGGTAAAGGCCAGAGAGCGTCAAACACTGTCAGCAGGACGGGCTCATTAAAAGATAATTTGACTTATCCTCTCTCCCTGTTGTGTTTAGGAACCCTGAAGGCACAGAAACTTCCCTATGGCACCTTGCCAGTCAAAACTGAGCGGGTGGTGTGTGATATTCATGCCTTTAATATAACCACAGCTTTTTAAATTAAAAAAAATGTTTTTGAACGCCTAGGATTACTTGACTTGCGTCAGGTTACGATAAGAGCCTTAAAAATGTCTCCTTAAAAATAACCCCTACAACGACTGCAAAAGATAAGAGCCAGTTTTTTATTATAATCTGCAAGTTTAGAAGACAGTAAATTCTAGGAGTGGCTTGTTCCATCATCCTTTTCCAGTATGGCTATTTTGTGTAGCTGTTTCTGCATGCGCACAGCTGTGAGGATTAAGTGATTTGCTGCAAGCCATACATGGACAGTTTTGCATTTGCTCGTCGCAGCACTGATGACCTCAGTCTCCTAGACTTGCGCTGAGATTCCCAGAATTCAAACAGCGGCACATGGCCAGTATTCTTTGTATTTCAGGCTGCAGTTCTAACATCTGGAATCAACAAATTGCTTAGGCTATAAATAAACAGCTTTAATCCAGGAGTAAGTTGTTTCCTTCCTGACTTTAGGACCATGGTGGTGTGTTTGGGAGCCAGTCTCACTCCCCCTCATGGCTTGCTTCCAGCCAAGTGTGCTTATGGTTGGAGACAGCATTTCTTTTTAAAACTAGTGAGGTCTGACTCCAAATTCTGACTCTGTTAGGTGCCACTAGGCTCCTGTTTTATTTAATGGAAATGTATTCTCCTTCTAAGTTGCCTACGTTTTCCTTCTGCAACTTTCCTTCAGACAACTTTTTTACATGCCTTCAGCCACTCCTTCTCCTTCAGCATAGCTCAGGTACCACTCCTGCTCTGTTTCTCCCCTGCCTACTTCCTGTCTTCTCCACAAACTGGCATAATCCCCTGGCTCCTCTCTCCCTCCCACTTTGTGGGGCTTCATCTCCAGCCTCTTAGTTACAGACTCTGTGACTTCAGTCTTCCCTGGTAAGGGTCCTAGTGCAATATACAACCCCATCCTCTGCAGAACCCACATCCTCTG